ATGTAATGCGGTACTCCCTACACCAACACCTGTGTTAACACTGGGCCGCGCCCGCTAGTACGGATTCTCCTTCCCCTCCTGGGTAGGAGGGCTGTGGATGTATTGGAAACCCTGCATCAAAACCTGTGTTCACACTGGTGCCTGTGTGCGATCCTCCTGGGTAGGGGAGGCGGCTGTGGATGGATTGGAAACCCTGCATCAAAACCTGTGTTCACACTGGTGCCTGTGTGCGATCCTCCTGGGTAGGAGGGCTGTGGATGGATTGGAAACCTTGCACCAAAACCTGTGTTCACACTGGTTTCGGTATATGATCCTCCCCCTCCTGGGTGGAAAGGCTGTGGATATATTGGACCTCCTATACCACCTATATTCACATTTGTTGAAACATGCGATTCCCCACCCCCTGCGTGGTTCGTGGCCATTGGAAAAAGTCCGCGAATTCCTCTATCAATAGCTGAGCCCTCCCGCCTCGGGAAATCAGGGTTGAACTTGGTCCAATGTTGGTTCAAACGCCAATTGTTTCTTCAACTCTTGGTTGTGTCCAAATGTTGAGATTTTCATTATTCATTATTGATTGCTGGCTATTTTCTGCGAAGGGGCCTACTATGCAAAAATTGGTGTTTCTGTTGCGAAGGGGGCCTCCTAGCTTAATCAAAATCTGGTGTTTCTGTGCGAATGCCAGTAAATGTTGCTCTCCTCGCACGATAGCCATCATCTGTACGACGCAAAGATATTCATTAATAATCAATGGAATCCGGTATATTCTGTGTCGGCCGCTATGGTCGTTCTCCAAACTCTCTACAGGCGATTCTTCTGCTGTAGGAAGTCCCAGGAACGTAGGCGTCGTGGTGTTTGGGGACGCCATAAAGGCGTAGCATTATGGGTATCTGATAAGGAGTGTAAAACAAGCCCTCTCCTGAACGTTCCCGCCACGCCTCGCTCCTTTCTCCCTCTCCTCCAGGCCCGTCGAAATAAGCAGAACCACTGGCCTGAGCCAAGCCGATATCATTATTATTCCAATTCTTTAAAGTTCTATTTAGTCTATGGTGGTACAAATATTATTAACGGATTGCTTCGGCGATGTCAGCCGCTACTAGCAATAGTTGATCAGAGCTTGGTTGTGTGGTGCTGAAATGTTGAAAAACTGATGTTGCTTGATACATTCCACCCGGAGAGGGCGCCCTGATGTTGCGTGATTGATTCCACCTGATGCTGGCGTATTGACATTGTTCACTGATTGTGTGCGTTGACATTGAGTTCCACCCGAAGGGTTGGTTGCATATTGTTCTACAGATGGTTGGGTTGACATTGTGTCAATCTGATGGCTGCGGTTGACATTGATTCCATCTGATGGTTGCGCGTGACATTGTCACAAAGATGGTTGGGTTGACATTGTTTACCAAGATGGTTGGGTTGAACATTGATCCATCTGATGGCGCAGTTGACATGTTCTACCTGATGGTTGGGTTGACATTGTTCCACCGAGTGGTTTGGGTTGACATGTTTCTACGCGGAGCCTAGATGGTTGGGTTGAGGCATTGCTTCAGCACGTGATTGTTGGGTTGATCACATTGTCCACCATGATGGTTGGGTTGACATATGTTCGACACGGCGATGGAGACGTTTGGCGGGTTGACATTCGTTCTCAGACCAAGATGGTTATGAGTTAGACATGGTTCATATGAGATGGTTAGAGTTGACGACGAGCGCCAGGTGCTGAAGGGTTGAGTTGATATGTTTGTCATCGTGATGGGGGTGGTGCCAGTTGTTCCACCACATCGGGTGGGTGAGTTGACAAATGGTTCCATCCTGATGGTTGGGTTACATTGTTGCACACCGTGACGACTGAGTTGACATTTCGCACCTGATGTTGGGTTGACATTTGTTCCACGCTGACGGTTGAGGTTGACATTGTTCGAACTGATGTTGGGTTGCCCCACTGAGTCTTTTATTGGGCGATGGCTCCGGAACGGTCTGGGGATCGTGTAATATGTGGATCAGATAAGTTAGGTTGAGCAAGGGTATGGTTTCACCTGCAACGGTTGGGTTGACATTGCTGGCGCACCTGGCGGTTGGATTTGAACATTGTCCCATCTGACACGGTTGGGTGAACATTGTTCCATCTGATGGTGAGTTGACATGTTCCACTTGTTGGTTAGGGATGAACATTGTTCACCCAAGATGGTTGAGTTGACATTGGACCACCAGATGGTTTGGTTGACATGGTTCCAGTCTGGTGGTTGGTTGACATGTTGCATCTGATAATATTGAGTTGACATTGATTCCACCATGACGGTTGGGGGGGGTTGACAGAGTATGTTGATCCACGAGAGAAAAAAAAACCGGAAAAGACTGGTATAGGCGTTACATTGTTTCACCTGACGTTTGGTTGACAGACCTGTTCGGAGCCTGCGACGGTTGCGTAGGACATGTCCCATCCTGACGGTGGTGGGGTTGAAACATTGCTTCCATCCTGCATGGTCTGACGTTGAATTGTTCACACCAGGCGGAAGGTTGAGGTTGACATATGTTCCCACCACGATGGTCTGGTTACATGGTTCATCGTATGTTGGGCTTGCACGGATGTCTCCATCTGATGGTTGAAGTCCTGACATTGTTCCACCCTAAATGGTCTGAGTTGACATTGGTCGCACGCGAGGGAGGTTGGGTTATGAAACTTGTTCGCACCAGATGGTTGGGTTGAACATTGTTCGCAATACTGAGGGTGTTGGGTGACATTGTTCCACCTGCACCGGTTGGGTCGACATTGTTGCCACATTTGCTCGATGTTGGTTTTGCGCCAGTGTTTCAGCTGGACGGTTGGCGGGGTCATTCGCGGCTCCACCTAACGGGTGGTTGACATGTCCATATGACGGTTGGTTGACATTGTTCGCCACTGCTGATTGGTCCGTCTGAGTTCTGACAATTGTCTTCCACTTGTTGTGGTTGGTTGAATTCGTTCCACCTGGATGTTTGGGAGTTGACACATGTTCCCAGGCCAGATGGTTGGGTTGAACATGGTTCCATCTGAATCGGTTGGCGTTGCTACAGTTGCGCATCTGGACCGGTTGGTGGACATTGTTGCACCTGATGGTTCAGTTGGCCCATTGTGCCACCTCGACTGCCGATTGACGTGACATTGTTCCATCCAGATGGTTGGACATCGGGTTCGCCGATCTGAGGTTGGGTATGACGATGGTGGTTCCATCTGATGTTGAGTTGACATTGTTGCCGCCCTGATGTTGAGTGAGCATTGTGTTCCACCAGAGGGTGTGGGTTTGACATGGTCTCCATCTGATGGTTGGGATTGTACATTGTCTCGCCATTCTGATCGGTCGAGGGTTTGACACTCTCGTTCCACCCTAACCTGCTTGACGCTTGACATTGTTCCAGCCGCAGATGGTTTGGGTTGAGGGGAATTGTTCGCCACCCAGATGGTTGGGTCTTGACATTGCTCTGTGGTTGCTTGAACCTCATTGGGTTCCCACCTGGGGAAAAAACGGTTGGGTTGACATTCGGGCCGAACAGATCGGCCCTTGGTCTCCGACATTCGCGCGCGAGGGCCTGATGGTTGGGTACATTGTTCCATGCCTGATGCGTTGACGTTACACTTGTGTCCACCTGTTGGTTGGGTTGACATTGTTCACCCTGACGTTGGTTGACATTGTTCCAATGATGGGTTGGGTTGCTCATTGTTTCAGCCTGACCGCGTCTGGGTGACATTGTTCCCACCTGACGGTTGGGTGACATGTTCCACGTCTGATGGTTAGTTGGCACTTGTTCCACCTGAAATGGTGTGAGTTGCGACAGTGTTACCCAGACCATGATGGTTGAGCCTGTGACATTGTCGCACGGCCCAGATGGCTTGGTCTGCTGACATTTGCTCTCCACAGATGGTTGAGTTTGACCGCATTGTTCCAGCTCTGAAGGCTGCCGTTGACATTGTAACCTCGGTCTACTTAGACGTGACACCCCACTCCAGTTGAAGCCGGGATGCCGTCCCGCGTAACCATTTGCTGTTAGGAACTGAGAGCTCTTGGCAATAACGTGAAGATGTATTACTTTTTGCGTCGTTTGTCTCAGCAAAAAATGATGCCCCTTTTCGCCTATCCTTGCCTTGTTACAAGTTGGGATTATCCTCTACGAAAAATGGCTGCCATTTTCATGCGTGTCGGGAAGGAGGTTCCTGCTGAACTACGGATCGATGGCATTGTTGTTGCGACTAGACTTATTCGAAAAGGCGCGTCGCCATTGCTGTTGCTACTCGGATCAGGTTCTGGCGTAGGATTGCGTCAGTGCTTACATCGCCCACATCTTCCTTTGGTTTTCGCTGACGTAGTGACGGTTGACTATCGTTGCAGCTGCTGGGCTCAGTTGCTACGGTCGGCCCCTTCGATGATCGTTGTTGACGTTGTATCTCCGTGTGTGTGTGTGTGTTGTGTGCGTGTATGTGTGTGTGTGTGTGTGTGTGTGTGTGTGTGTGTATGTGTTGTGTGTGTGTGTTTGTGTGTGTGTTTGTGTTTGTGTGTGTGTTTATATACGTGTGTGTGCGTGGGAGGGTGCGTGCGTGCGTGCGTGAGCGGGTTCAACGGCGTCCGTACGTGCATGAATGTATGTGTGTGTGCGTGCGGGCGTGCGTGCGTGCGTCCGTGCGTGCTCGGATTCAACGGCGTCTATGTAGAGAATATTTTGTGATGAACCAATTCGCAATACTACATAATTAAGTGTCATATCGGTGTGCCATTAAGGTTATTGTTTTTTTTGTTTTTTTTTAATGACACCTACACGTGCTGAACGTGTATTTACAAGCACCAAACTATTTTAACGAAATATGCAATCGATTCGCGAAATTATTTATGTGGTATAATTAGCTAAACGTGATATATATCCTACAAATCACGTCTATATGTAGAATCCCCATCAAAGTGTGTATTTACCAATGCCTGCAGATAATAGCCAAGCAAACAATTTATGATCGAAATTAGCTAAATGGTTGTCAAAAGTAATATTAATATAACTTTCACTACAATAATTGAGAAACTGGATCTATACCATATATACTCACGCAATTAATCGCTGTTTGTCAAATTAGATATCCGACAGTCGTGCAAAGCACTGGTGATGACGACAATGTACGTATATAAGTGCGAGTAAACTTTCCAGCTTTATGCGAGAACACATCTGTTACTGCATGCACGTATCACATAATATACTTGAAAGAAACTTTCACAATCACAAGAAACGCGCTGACGTCTTTGGTCACGACGATGACGACTTGGAAAAGCGAGAGTACTTGACAGACATCCCACTGCATGCAATTTTAAGGTCACATTAAATGCAGTCACCATGAGGTTCTAACGCTACGGCCCGCTGCACGGCGTTACTCCAACCCGGTAGTGAAAGTATTGGCATGCCCATGGTTTCCCAAAACTGTTACACGCCCGCAATTCATTGAACTCCGTTCCCAGCGCTCACCAAAAATGAGTCGTGAGAGCGCCTATTCCACCACTGGTCCCTAGGTACGAGAGTCAATCAGTACCTCCCGGGCGCGTAAGGTTACTGAACTTAATAACCAGGAAGAGGTGAAAATGCCGCGCCGGACCCAGCTGGGTATATGCTTGCACCAGGCGGAGTGCTGTCGCAACTAGTCAAGCGTCACCATGCCCACCTTCTGCCCCGCGGCTCCCGCTGCGGCTAACTACATGAGGCGGATCCTTCCATGTTCACGGTAAACCCAACCCAGATAGATGAGTCTTTGTCTAGGCGGCGCCGTGCTAACCACTCTGACGCTGTCATCGTTATGTAAGATTGCTGCGGCGTGGGGGAGGGGGGCAATTTCTCATCTGATTGTCCAATTCGTAAGGGGAGTAGGTTCTATTCAAGTCAAATGCTGCGAGCGATTGAGGATGTTCTATCCATATTCACGTTCTGTACATTCGTGTATTCATGTATCCGTGAGCGTTCAGCACGCCACGGCATTAACTTGCTTAAAGGGGGAGTTTACTCTAGGTTCTAGGGTTATTTTCAGCTAATTTAGGTTATAATTACGCTACATAAAAAGTTTCATAGTTCAATGACCATTAGAAATATTATTAAAAAATGTTTTAAAACTAACGACTACAGTTTGATTACAACGACGGTGGCGCCACTCAAAGCGCACGATCTGATAAGTTGCGCAAAACCACTTTCCAGCCAAGGGCTACAGACCGAGGGTGTTTCTTTGGGTGGAAAGGCTGTGGATATATTGGACCTCCTATACCACCTATATTCACATTTGTTGAAACATGCGATTCCCCACCCCCTGCGTATGGTTGTGGCCTATTGGAAAAGTCCGGAATTCCTCTATCAATAGCTGAGCCTCCACGCCTCGGGAAATCAGGTTGAATTGGTCCAATGTTGGTTCCAACGCCAATGTTTCTCAACTCTTTTGTGTCCAAATGTGGATTTTCATATTCATATTGATTGTGGCTAGTTCTGCGAAATGGGGGCCTACTATCAAAATTGGTGTTCCTGTGCGAAGGGGGCCTGCTATCAAAATTGGTGTTTCTGTGCAAAGGGGGCCTGCTATCAAAATCAGTAAAGTGTTGCTCTCCTCCACGATAGCCATCATCTGTACCACCAAAATATTCATAATAATCATAATCCGTATATTCATGTGGCTCGCCGTATGGTCGTTCTCCAAATCTTACAGGCGGAATTCTTCTGCTGTAAATCCCAGGAACGTTAGGTGTGTGTTTGGGGACGCCATAAGGCGTATCATATGGGTACTTATAAGGAGTGTAAACAAGCCCTCCTCCTGAACTTCCCCCGCCTCCTCCTCTCCCTCCTCCTCCAGCCCGTCGAATAACAGAACCACTGGCTGAGCCAGCCGTATCATTATTATTCAATTCTTGAGTTCTATTGTCTATTGGTGGTAACAAATTTATTAACGGATTGCTCGGTGATGTCAGCGCTCTAGCAATAGTTGTCAGAGCTGGTTGTGGTGTTGAAATTGTTAAAACTGATGTTGCTTGATACATTCCACCCGGAGAGGGCGCCCTGATGTTGCGTGATTGATTCCACCTGATGCTGGCGTATTGACATTGTTCACTGATTGTGTGCGTTGACATTGAGTTCCACCCGAAGGGTTGGTTGCATATTGTTCTACAGATGGTTGGGTTGACATTGTGTCAATCTGATGGCTGCGGTTGACATTGATTCCATCTGATGGTTGCGCGTGACATTGTCACAAAGATGGTTGGGTTGACATTGTTTACCAAGATGGTTGGGTTGAACATTGATCCATCTGATGGCGCAGTTGACATGTTCTACCTGATGGTTGGGTTGACATTGTTCCACCGAGTGGTTTGGGTTGACATGTTTCTACGCGGAGCCTAGATGGTTGGGTTGAGGCATTGCTTCAGCACGTGATTGTTGGGTTGATCACATTGTCCACCATGATGGTTGGGTTGACATATGTTCGACACGGCGATGGAGACGTTTGGCGGGTTGACATTCGTTCTCAGACCAAGATGGTTATGAGTTAGACATGGTTCATATGAGATGGTTAGAGTTGACGACGAGCGCCAGGTGCTGAAGGGTTGAGTTGATATGTTTGTCATCGTGATGGGGGTGGTGCCAGTTGTTCCACCACATCGGGTGGGTGAGTTGACAAATGGTTCCATCCTGATGGTTGGGTTACATTGTTGCACACCGTGACGACTGAGTTGACATTTCGCACCTGATGTTGGGTTGACATTTGTTCCACGCTGACGGTTGAGGTTGACATTGTTCGAACTGATGTTGGGTTGCCCCACTGAGTCTTTTATTGGGCGATGGCTCCGGAACGGTCTGGGGATCGTGTAATATGTGGATCAGATAAGTTAGGTTGAGCAAGGGTATGGTTTCACCTGCAACGGTTGGGTTGACATTGCTGGCGCACCTGGCGGTTGGATTTGAACATTGTCCCATCTGACACGGTTGGGTGAACATTGTTCCATCTGATGGTGAGTTGACATGTTCCACTTGTTGGTTAGGGATGAACATTGTTCACCCAAGATGGTTGAGTTGACATTGGACCACCAGATGGTTTGGTTGACATGGTTCCAGTCTGGTGGTTGGTTGACATGTTGCATCTGATAATATTGAGTTGACATTGATTCCACCATGACGGTTGGGGGGGGTTGACAGAGTATGTTGATCCACGAGAGAAAAAAAAACCGGAAAAGACTGGTATAGGCGTTACATTGTTTCACCTGACGTTTGGTTGACAGACCTGTTCGGAGCCTGCGACGGTTGCGTAGGACATGTCCCATCCTGACGGTGGTGGGGTTGAAACATTGCTTCCATCCTGCATGGTCTGACGTTGAATTGTTCACACCAGGCGGAAGGTTGAGGTTGACATATGTTCCCACCACGATGGTCTGGTTACATGGTTCATCGTATGTTGGGCTTGCACGGATGTCTCCATCTGATGGTTGAAGTCCTGACATTGTTCCACCCTAAATGGTCTGAGTTGACATTGGTCGCACGCGAGGGAGGTTGGGTTATGAAACTTGTTCGCACCAGATGGTTGGGTTGAACATTGTTCGCAATACTGAGGGTGTTGGGTGACATTGTTCCACCTGCACCGGTTGGGTCGACATTGTTGCCACATTTGCTCGATGTTGGTTTTGCGCCAGTGTTTCAGCTGGACGGTTGGCGGGGTCATTCGCGGCTCCACCTAACGGGTGGTTGACATGTCCATATGACGGTTGGTTGACATTGTTCGCCACTGCTGATTGGTCCGTCTGAGTTCTGACAATTGTCTTCCACTTGTTGTGGTTGGTTGAATTCGTTCCACCTGGATGTTTGGGAGTTGACACATGTTCCCAGGCCAGATGGTTGGGTTGAACATGGTTCCATCTGAATCGGTTGGCGTTGCTACAGTTGCGCATCTGGACCGGTTGGTGGACATTGTTGCACCTGATGGTTCAGTTGGCCCATTGTGCCACCTCGACTGCCGATTGACGTGACATTGTTCCATCCAGATGGTTGGACATCGGGTTCGCCGATCTGAGGTTGGGTATGACGATGGTGGTTCCATCTGATGTTGAGTTGACATTGTTGCCGCCCTGATGTTGAGTGAGCATTGTGTTCCACCAGAGGGTGTGGGTTTGACATGGTCTCCATCTGATGGTTGGGATTGTACATTGTCTCGCCATTCTGATCGGTCGAGGGTTTGACACTCTCGTTCCACCCTAACCTGCTTGACGCTTGACATTGTTCCAGCCGCAGATGGTTTGGGTTGAGGGGAATTGTTCGCCACCCAGATGGTTGGGTCTTGACATTGCTCTGTGGTTGCTTGAACCTCATTGGGTTCCCACCTGGGGAAAAAACGGTTGGGTTGACATTCGGGCCGAACAGATCGGCCCTTGGTCTCCGACATTCGCGCGCGAGGGCCTGATGGTTGGGTACATTGTTCCATGCCTGATGCGTTGACGTTACACTTGTGTCCACCTGTTGGTTGGGTTGACATTGTTCACCCTGACGTTGGTTGACATTGTTCCAATGATGGGTTGGGTTGCTCATTGTTTCAGCCTGACCGCGTCTGGGTGACATTGTTCCCACCTGACGGTTGGGTGACATGTTCCACGTCTGATGGTTAGTTGGCACTTGTTCCACCTGAAATGGTGTGAGTTGCGACAGTGTTACCCAGACCATGATGGTTGAGCCTGTGACATTGTCGCACGGCCCAGATGGCTTGGTCTGCTGACATTTGCTCTCCACAGATGGTTGAGTTTGACCGCATTGTTCCAGCTCTGAAGGCTGCCGTTGACATTGTAACCTCGGTCTACTTAGACGTGACACCCCACTCCAGTTGAAGCCGGGATGCCGTCCCGCGTAACCATTTGCTGTTAGGAACTGAGAGCTCTTGGCAATAACGTGAAGATGTATTACTTTTTGCGTCGTTTGTCTCAGCAAAAAATGATGCCCCTTTTCGCCTATCCTTGCCTTGTTACAAGTTGGGATTATCCTCTACGAAAAATGGCTGCCATTTTCATGCGTGTCGGGAAGGAGGTTCCTGCTGAACTACGGATCGATGGCATTGTTGTTGCGACTAGACTTATTCGAAAAGGCGCGTCGCCATTGCTGTTGCTACTCGGATCAGGTTCTGGCGTAGGATTGCGTCAGTGCTTACATCGCCCACATCTTCCTTTGGTTTTCGCTGACGTAGTGACGGTTGACTATCGTTGCAGCTGCTGGGCTCAGTTGCTACGGTCGGCCCCTTCGATGATCGTTGTTGACGTTGTATCTCC